TGTGCCACCACCAAACCAGATGAAAGGAGACACTTTTCTGTACACAAGTTTCTAATAAAATGCCTTTTAATTTGGGCTACAGACAAACACACCTTTAATCCTCTGAATTTTCTCTCTCAACTGATATTTGACTTGACATTGTCTGCCTAGAGTAATCTGTGACAGCAAGGCAAGGCCTGAGGTAAACAGAAGAAAAAGGGCTTTGATAATGTTTTAAACAACGAATTTAAAGTCACTTTTGATAAACAGATTTTAGGGACAGGAGAACTTTAGGATCATCAAAGCCAACTTGTACAGTGAGCAAGCAGCAGGATTTTGTGACTCCATCTCAGCCTCTAACCTTTGGTTGACCTCTTGTCAGAAGCAGAATTTCTCACTTCACTTTGAACACCTACAGTACTGAGGGACCTACGTTACGAAATCTGAGCTCCCTTTACAGTAAGTCATTAGGACACTGTCTAAGCACTATACGTAAAATGTGATTTCTTTTTCCTATTTTAGGCTTGAAAGCCACAGGTTTTAACTATTCATGACTCCACTGCTGAAAGTCAGAAAACTCCGAGACTACACTCAAGCCCAGGCTATCAAAGTTTTCACATTTTCTGCTACAAGGAAAATTCTGAAACCATCTCTCACATGAACATTATTCCCTACCACCCATGGAATAAGGTTAACTTAGGAGTTTGGCAGTCTGAGCACCAACCAGTGGCTGGAAGTCTGGAGATCCTCCACCCAAGCCACAGTACCTTACAAACGCCAGCTCTTGGGAGCTTTCAGACATGCTGTGAAACCAGTATTTCACTCTGGAATATCCATGTGCAAATGTTTCTGGGACTTTTTTTTTTTTTAAACCACTTGGCACATGCCAAGCTTCAAATCTGTATTTCACACCTCCCCTCCAAAATTATGCTTGCTTGCAAACTGAAAATGTTGCATTTTAGTCAACTTTAATGAAATTAGGTCCCCAAGGAATGCTAACGGATGCCACCTAAGGTTAGATACTGACTGCACAAGTACCATGTACTATGCTTCACAAGTCACGCTCTCTTGCAAATAGATATGCAAGACAAATTTTCTTGTTTGTGATCATCTCCCAGCAAACAGCTAAACAAAATCATGACACTCCTAATTACAGACAACTTACAAAAATTACAAAATTATAAATTTGCCCACATGGACCTAATTTCCACCCAAGAACAAAGACTTGCCCCCAGCCACATGCTCATCTACTGCTATTTTTACGCAGAACCCAGTCTCATCACCATATTAAACAACTGATAAATGAGACTGGCACATATCACAAAGAGAGCTGTGACCTGGAGCTGTGCCACCTCATTCACAGCACAGACTGGAAGATGCTCAACAAATGAGCCAGGTGCAAGGAATCTGTTCAACCATACAGTTAAAAATCAGTGTAGAACAGCTGCTTCCCACCCTCAGCACTATCAACCTGGGGTGCACTGACTTTGGCAGAGACCCTGCTGAGAGAGCAGGGTGGGGCTGTACAACTGATCAGCATCCCCAGGCTGTACCAGCTAAAGCCAAATATCCAACAGGCACAGAAGTATCTGTACTTTAGCAAATGACCGGAAAGTTTAAAGCACACAACAGAGTAAATTAAAAATGCTGTAGACTTTCTGAAAGCTCTGCCCTTGGCACCCAGAAAGCATCATTGCAATCCTGCCGCAAAAGAATTGCTACAGCATTTTCCACCTAGCCATGGCCCATTCCCACAGCTGTGCCAGGGCAGCTCTGTGCAGTGTCAGGCAGAGCTGGACCAGAAAACTGATGCAGGTTTCAGGACAAGGCAGGAAGAAGGCTGGGTTTGCTAGGTTGTCTTTAACTCAGATCCATCACAACCCACTGCTCAATATGGGTTGCACTGACACAACTGAAGGGACAGTGGGAACAAGCAGTGGTGAACAGGAGGCTGTTTACACACCACTACCACCACTGAAAAAAATCCCTGCTAAATTATGATTTGACATTACAGAGATAAACATCAACCCAAAACCCTAAATAAAGAACTGGAGAAATCAGAAGGAGAACAGAGAAATGGTATTTTCCAAGGACACTTAGAGGAGAAGGTTGCTTTTTATACTCTGAGGAAGTTCTTTGAAAGCTGGGGGATACTGCACTGATGCCATGTACTGAGGAGCAGGACAGAAGAACAAAGTAATTTCTTTTAATTACGATAACTGTGGTTACTTCCCCAAGAGCTGACTTCCTCCTCCACATGGCACTACTGCGCCCGCATGAATACAGCCCGTTGAGTCCAGGGTGTTCTGCACTACAGGTTTCAGCTAAGACACTGGCAACAGCCTCCTTGCTCCCCCTTCACTACTGCTGTTGGGCTTAGTCTTGTTGCTATTTATCAGCCAGAAAAACTTTTGACAATGACGACAGACTCTCCTGAATCAGAGAAATAAAGAGCATTCATGAGAAAGGCTGTAATACATGTTTTTGTCTGACAGAACCTGCAGGGTCAGTTGAAAACCAAGGTATGGAAGGGCCATTCAAGGAAGACAAGGGCAGAGCAGAGGGGAAAAAAAAAGTCTGTGCATCCCTCTTCATCATGGAGGAATTTGGGGCGTGAGGGGCCACAAGGGCAGAAATCTCAAACTATGAAGAACAGTGCTGAGGATCTCTCTCAAACTGAACTGTCTATAAGAACTGTGGAAGTGAACAAAATAAAGAGTAACAAATCACCAAGATTAGACAATATTCACCCAGGGGTTCAAAAACCCCCTTCAGCATGAACTGAACCTCTCACTTCAGCAGTAACTGAATCAAGACGTGCAGTGTGTCACTTCCCTGACAGTGCCTTAATACAAAATAACTGGAAGGTGGCAAATGTCAAGTATTAAGAGTATCCCAGTGGAGATCTGTGGAAACACAGACCAGTACATTTAACACCTGCTCTGGGCAAACTAATAGAAATTGCAACAAAGATTAGGCAGATACTTAAAAAAAACCAAACAAACATATATTGGGGAAAAAAACCCCACATTCACAAATCTATAAAGAGTTTTTCTAATGTGTCAGCAAGCAAACAGGTAAGAGAGATCCAGTAGGTACAATCTGCTTGGGTGCTCTGAACACATTCAGCTGCAGTGCTTTGAAAGGCTTCTGCAGAAACTGAGCCACCACAGGATGAGGGGAAAGGTTTTCTCTTGGGTAAATATCTAGTAAAAATGAGAGGACTAAAAAGGAGGCAGCAGGAACCGTGCTCTTCAAGTACTGATATAGCAAAGAGACAAATGGTGGAGAGGGCCTCATGATACTGAGATTACAGAGGGCCATCAGACAAATGATGTTTTAACAGAACCCACTGCTTAGACAAAAAGGCAAAAAGATCTATTGGGAAAAGGAGAGAAAACTTCATTATGCCACCATATAAATCAATGACACAGTGTCTGGGATACTGCATGCAGCGCTGCTTCCCCCAACACAAAAATGACAGAGAAAATGTACAAAAGAAGAAAACAAAGATGATTAACACTGAATAATGAAAGAGGCTAGAAAGAAATAAAATAACAGCTGAAGAAGAGGGGCCTATAAACTCATGAGTGACTTAGGAAAGATGAACAAGGAATGAATATTCAATACATCTTCTATAAGCAATGGGGAGCAATAAATGAGAGCAGCTGCTGGGAGCTTGGGGGGATGATGAGTTGCCCATCCTCACACAGCCTACAGATGTGAAATTCTGCCACGGGACACCGCGGGTGCGGAAAACTTCGGAAAGAACCCGGGTGAACTCACACAAAACAAACCCACCAGGAGCCAGCGGAACCCGCGGTGCCGGCCCTGGCTCGCGAAACCCACAAACCGCCAGAGCTGGGGGGCAGCGGGCCGCACCTGGCACCCCCGGCCCGGCCCCACGCACCCACCCGCCTGCCAGCCGGCGGCCCTGGAGGCCTCTGCCGGCCCCTCACCCCCGGCTCCGGCTCCCAGGAGCGCCCACCAGGACCGGCCCAGACCTCGGCCCCCGCGGTGGGCTGAGCCCCTAGGCCGGCCCCGGCCCCCTCACCGCGGCTTCGACCTCCTTTGTGGAGGACTTCGCCCCCCAGCGATAAGGAAAGGCCCCGCTGCCCCACCCCGCAGGCAACGGAGGCCCCCGGCGGGCCTGTCCCGGCGGCCCGCGAGTGGCTCGGCCCCGCCGCGGGAGAGGCGCACCCCGCCGGTGCCTCGGGCCCGCC